GCAATTCTAACTGTAAATGGGACATTTTATTGTCACTTATTGAAATGTGATAATTGGAAGTACTGTAAATTGAAGAAAATATTTGCCATGATTGCCCAAGTAATTTTTGCTTGAAATTGTTTTAATTGCATTTAAAAGGTCACTCGTCGTTGTTGAGATAAAATTTGGTTTATAGAATTGTGTTGATGAGGTTTTTTTTGGTGCAATTTTTTTTTTTTAAATGCGTTGTAGATTTAGCAAATGATATTTATAAACAAAATAAGCAGTAAATTGGATATTTGATCAATTAATTATTATAATGAAATAAAGGTCGTATGAAACTATCATAGTGACGGATCCTTGATCAGTACAAAATATTGTTGGCTTGTTGTAGCTGACATGTGAAATGTCATGTGAAATGTATAGCTAAATAGATGTACTACTCATTTCCTATGACTGTCTGCAAAGTATTGAGAAGTTAAAGCTCTTTCTGGTAAATCAATTCCTGTATACTATTTTGACAATATATGTATTTTTTACGAGGGTTGAAATTCCAAAGTAATAATAGAAGTTCTCTGCAATGCCGTATTACGGTAAGAAGGTATTGATTTGCATGTTCTGTTTATGCTGGTGTCAATATCTGACATTCAGAAATCTTGTAATCCAAATAAATGTGGGTATTGTTTTTTAATAAATTGTTTGATTCTGAATTATGTAAGACAAAACAGTGGCGAGGTTCCTGATTAAGGAAAGGCCCATTTATATATATGGTGTGATTAAACTAGTTGTTTAGGTCTCAATCCTCTCCCTTCTAAATCTCGATCATTGGTCACTAACTAATGGTTTATAAAAGAACACATAGTTAAATCTACGTCATTTGGTCTGTGGTGCATAGATGTCTCATTGGCAGTCATACCATATCTCCTTATTTGTATATTAACTCGCTTAAATGACGATATACTAGATAACAAAAACAGAAGTGAAAATAAACAAAACAAAAATATTAATACCGTACCAAAGAATGCTCAAAGTTACTGAAAGCAAGCTCAAATGTTCCTATGTTATCCTTTGCCTCTTTTTTCAGCAGATTAGAAGACTCATCTTGTAAGACGAAATGATTTATTATCAGTAATGAAGAAGTATGTTTAACCTTGGTTCACACCATCAACAAAATTAATTGAACGTTTAAAGATCTATATCCAAGGAAGAGGGTTATCGAACAGATATATCATACTTCATTATATAAAGCTTTGATCGAGTTTCATAGTTCCGTTAGGTAACGTCAATTATCAATTTTTCAAGATAATCGTGCTTTTTGGCATAAAGAGACAAAATAGAATAAGTTTGAATATCCTAATATCAAGTTACGTATTTTTAAATCAAGAAAAAAACTCCTGCAGATAGAAGACGTTTTCCTCTGAATTTTACATTTTTATTTGATTCTTAAAGATTCATGATGTCATCATAGTTTATCATATCATCTAATACATTTATATTTTAGAAATAAAGGCGCTATTTTACTGCACCAGATTCGTATTTCAACAATTTTAAATGTCACTTCAGAACAAGTGTCATGCACAAAAACTTTATATCATACTTTAGTTTCACATAAAACACTTGATTAAATTGCTTTGTTCCTTATAAACTACTTATTCCTCAGCGCCATTTCGTGCTTCCCGGAAATCAAATTAGTACCTCTCAGTTTTTTGGATTTTAATCTTTCTGGACGATAAATTACACTTTAAGTTGATTATCTAACAACATTTATTGTTCCACTTGAACCTCGACAATATCACAAGATCATTGTTTAAGATTTGTACCTTCCCTGTAACACACTACAATTTTCATTTTTTAAACTTGTGTTTCTCTTTTAAACTTCTACTCGGTTATGTTCTCGTCCTTTGGTCTCTGGCGGATAGTTGTCTTATTGGCAATTTACTACATCTCCTTATTTACAGAATAATAGCATACGATTCTAACTATGATGTGTTATACCATTATTAATATGGAAAATAAGAAGATGTGGTATGATTGCCAATGAGACAACTTACAACCGGAGACCAATAATAAAATGTTAATGTAGAAAGCTCTCTCACAAGTAAAAATCCATAACTGAAATATACACATAATCAAGCACAAAACACATTCTACTGCATCCATACAACACGCCGGAAAAGTTAAAGTAGTTAGGGAAAATACAAAAGCAAAGCCTTGATACGTTTGTTTAAAAGTCCAGGATGGAATAGCTGCTGATAAACGATTTACGAACTCTTTCTGTGATTATAAAGGAATAACATATCTTTCAAACTCAAAATTTCGTAATTTCATTTTACCAGCAATTGAAAAACATGTCTTTATACATGGCCCTTGTACTACCATTAGGCACGGACATATAGAATCAGACACTGCATATTTTCTTAGCTGTACTGTTCAGTACAAAGCAATTATTTACTGGAAATAAAAATTTGAAAAGTTTTCCTGGCCTTCAAAAGATCTGACTGAAGAGTACATTGCACTAGGTTTTCAGTTTGTGTCAGTTGGTAGTAAAAACTCTCCTTGTAAAGATTTAGAATGGAGAAAATCATTTATCTTAATGGAAAAGGAACTTTTATTTTCACTGAATATCATGAAAACATCTCTATTCTAGGGGGTCAGTCAAGTTATAAGAATATATGGTATTACAGTCTTTTGGAAGATGTATTAAACGAATATACAAGTGAGTACAGATAGAAACCTGTCCAAAATTCTTCATTCCGCAAAATAATATGTTTAAAAACAGAATATACGGATACAAAAAACAACAGTTACAAACTATACTAGAAAAATTGCTCGATGAAAAGTTTTATGTGTTGTACAGATGTCAATCGATTGACCTTAGGTATTTGGTTTTCAAAGTACTGCTTAATGATCTCCCAGGAATACAGGTGTCGTTAAAAGAGGATGAATACAGTTCAAATGAAGATATAGAAAACACACGTGGGACGAAATTAATGCACAAACTTCCTAATGTATTACAATCAGTGAAAGAAAAGGGTTCTTTATCAGTTTTGAAATACACTACAAAATTATGGAAAATCAATGGACTTTAGAATTACAATAAGGGGGGACATGCTTTTGGAATGTGGGATATAGATGTTTATAAAAGTGGACATGTGGGATATAATGGGGTGAGGGGAGATATGCAAAGTCGGGATGTGTGATATAGTCGGTAAAAAGTGGGATCTGGGAAAAAGTTGGAAAAATACAAGAAGACGGGATTCGGGAAATGAACACCCCGGTGTCACCCCTCATAGTTGCAGAGTTTCAAATTATGAGTGCTTTTAGAATTGCAAAGTTGGAATTTTTATCTCTATTTGGTTTTCAATACGTTCTGGAGCCTCGATGGCCGAGTAGTCTAATTAGTTCAACAGTTCAACTACTGAATCACTAGTCTGTTAGCACTTAGGTTGTGAGTTCGAACCCCGCAAGTGGCAGGTGCGTTCGACTCCAATCTTAATTGACTAGGATTGCCAGTTTTACTCACGAAGGTCGGTGGTTCTCTCCAAGCAATCCGGCTTCCTCCACTAAAAAAAACTTGCCACCGAAATTTAGCCAATAGTACTGAAAGTGGCGTTAAATACTAACAGCAACTATACGTTCTTGTGTAACGAATGATTCGATAGGTTCCAGATACTGTACTTTCTTTCAAACCTATAATATGAAGTCTATTCACGGACAATTTTTTCGTATTACTGTTCTCTGTTACGTCTGCGTTCGAGCATTAGAAGTTTTTGGCGTTTATCGTTTGTTCGCTGTTTCCGAAATGTTTTGATTTTCTTGCACTTCTCTATTTCATTTTTCAATATAGAAGATAAGTGCGTCTGTTTCTTATAACCTGTGCAAGTCTTGCATTGTAAGGAAGTTTGCAATCTTTTTAAGAGTAGAGGGTAAAGATTCGGGTTGCGGAAATTGTGGTGATAGTGGTTGTCGGCATAATAAAATAAGGAAGATTGACTGCTTTGCCAAAGGAAAAGGCAATAGTTGTTTCGGTAAATACTGCAGTCCCATCTAGTTTTTCTTGTTTCAAAAGTGTCAATTTCTTCATTCTTTGATGCACTTAGAAGTGTTTTGTTGTTTTGAGAGGCATTTCTCTTTGTGTTCATGTTTTTTTATACGCCACTTCTTCACCTTAACTTAAACATCAACAAACAGTAGTTGATATTTTCTTTAAATAACATTTTCAAAAGCACTAATCCGTACACTGCTTATACAAGGCAATTTTTTTAAATACGAAAATTTAAGCATTTGGTAGTTCAACGAATGAATGTAAGTTTAGTGAACTGAAATTGTGTATTCATCTCCTTTAAACACCTACAAAATTGTGTGTAGCATGAAAATGACTACTGAAGTACAGTAACTGTTTGGACATGCGAGCTCGATATTGCAATTAAAATACTAATTTCGGATACTAGTTTTGATGTAATGAATGTGTCGTTTGTCTTTTTGTTAGTTTTTTTTTTCTTCTTTTTTTTGTGCTTTGTATCGATCTGATGAGTTAAACCCTTATCACTTTTTTTTTTTAGTTTATCCTTATATTGTGCTGTTACACCACTGTCCCAGGTTAGTGGGAGGGTTCGCATGCTCGCAGACCTGTTTGGCCGCGCCACGTTCTGTATGTGCCTGTTCCAAGTCAGGAGCATGTAATTCAGTGATTGTGGTTTGTTGCTGTTTATCGTGTTTGTTTTTTCATGATTCTTGACGTTTGTTTTCTCGTTTGAATTTTTTTACATTTGTCATTTCGGGGCTTTTTATAGCATGCTATGCGGTATTGGTTTTGCTCATTGTTTAAAGTCGTACGGTAACCTATAGTTGCTAACCTTCTACGTCATTTGATCACTGGTGGAGGAGTTGTCTCATTGGCAATCATACCACATCTTCTTATTTATATATGGTATACCAAATATATTTTGGTTAACCTCAATGAGCGGAAATGTAACATTCCTACATCTGAACATGCGAAAACAAGTATATTGAAATCGTAGTATGCTGTTATCCAACACGTAACATATTATTGTTTTTTTTATTTTTTAACTGATGTTCAATACATATGTTGCACTTCTAATGTCCAACTCTTGTTCCAGAAAAAGATGAATAGTAGTCTCCCCTGATACACCCTGTGATCCATCCGGGAATCATTTTGATACCTACTTCATCACCAGTCTTCAAATTTAGAATCACACTAACGAATCCTGCTCCTTCACGGACATCTTTTGCAGCGTATCCCCGGGCTACCTCATTTCCGTTCTTTATAAGCTTAACGTTTACATAACCATCGTCCACAAGAAATACTGACGTAAACATGAAAAAACCATCCATCGGAGTGGTAAAAAATCCTCCAGTTTTGTTATATCCATGTCCGATATTTGTCACCACGTGATCAAATGCAATATAATTCGTTCCATCACTCAATACATTTTGTGTGAGCAAAGCTGAGAATGCCACTATTGTCCTGCTCGATCCTTCGAATGTGTTACTGGAAACATTGAACATTAACTGGTCCAGTTGTGTGTCTAGATTTTTCACCATTGATTCTGTAGCATTGTTCAAATGTTCTACTGTCATTTGTTGTTTTGAATCTATAACGTTATTAATTTCTTTTTCAAAATCTAAGTATTTGTCTCGAATATCACTGCTGATTTCATTAATTTCTGTATCAACCTTAGATAATATTTCCGATTCTGTAACGTTCAGTTTTTGGCTAAATGTCCTAGTTAAATTCGAGCCAAGTTGTTTTATTTTATCAGTGGTTTCAGTATATTTGTTCATTATTTTTTTCAAAACAATATCTTTAATAGTCTTATCCCCAAGTTCGTCTATCTTTTCACTGAGTCTCTGAAACAGTTCATTCGTGATATTTCCTGCGGCATCCTCTACGGCTTTCCTTAGATTTTCATCCAAGGTGTGAGAAAAAGAAACACTTGGTGTTGTATCGCTCCCCCATCCCATTTGCAGATTCAAATTCCATAACACGAAGTATAATATAAACCAACGATATAACATTCTCGCCATTTTGTTTTAGTTTTTCTTGAATTATCATATACTTTCATCTATTGAGTATGTATAAGTATATTTTATGTAGTTTTATAAGTATTTCCGCTACTAAGGTTGATAAGATCCCAATTATTTCAGTATTTTGATATATAACATGCTTTTTGTAACTTAATGTTATATAATTACCTATCAAAATGGCCTTCTCGAGAAAACAAAATCCAAAATGGCTATTTCACAAGGCCTTGCATTTCCAGTTTTGCCATTTTGGAAACTGGTCAAAATATTTTGACATGTTTACAGTTTTAAGTCAACTGCTGTCAAGTCTCCTTAAAATAAAATAAAAATGCGTACAGATTTTTCCTTCACACATAATATCTATTAAATCATTTAAAAAGATTGCAAAAGTAAATTAACTTAAAGTTCACCATAACAACCCAATCCTGAAGCTGCTTACTGGTCAGTTTGTACATCACTATAACTAAAGTTAAAGATAGAATCTTATATTTTATCAAAATCTCAATAATAGTAATTACAGTAACATTATTAACAGGAAATATTAATATGTTATTAATGATTTGTTCTATTTTACAAATAAATGTTCTGTGTATAACTATGCATTTGATGTTACTTTGTCAAAGACTGGTAAATGACTCCATACATCACTGATCTTTAATTAAATTGTTTTCTTATAACACAAAATGATGGCATATCCGAAGAAATTCCAACACACTGTTGGTAAAAGAACACATGAGAAAATGTAGTCCATGAAAAAAATAATATATCCTCATCTTGGTAAAATGGGTGTAAATACTAATATCAAATAATATTTTTAATTTACATATTTCAAATATCTGTTAGGAGTCCACAATGTAAGTTTTTAGACGATTTTTGCTATTATTTAAACAGACTTGATAAACTTACTATTTACTACTCAATTATTTTGCAAAATTTCAGTTATGGCTCTTTGAATGGACATGTTTTCAATGAACAAAACACAGTTGAAATTGATAATATTCAGGAACTTGAGCCAGTCTGCATTTATGAGGCTAACTGCAGTTCTTAATGATGTTTTGTGGGAGAAGTTAAAATGTCTATTAAAACTTTTCGGTTGCGTACAGATGCCTTAGGGATTTTTATAAAAATGAATACTAAGTATCTTCAACTGATGCTTATGATGTCAAATATATGGTAAAACTGCAGACATAACCCCGACAAACAAATTTTGTGTACGATTGAAAAACTTTCAGACTTGAGGCAGAAATAGCGAGGAAATCACTCTAAATAAAGAATATTGTTCTACTGTATGTAAATATTGGTAGCAAAATCAACATTTGATTGGTAAAGACTATCCCACGTGACATTGAATAAACCTTCTCATTCCCTTGTGAGTACCATATTCCCCTCTGAACAAAGGGGCTTCCTCGTGAACGGTGCGACGTTACGCGCGGTTAATGAACATAATGTTCGGTGTGAGCCAAGGCCCCGTGTCGAAGGCCGTACTTTGACCTATAATGGTTTACTTTTACAAATTGCGACTTGGATGGAGAGTTGTCTCATTGGCACTCATACCACATCTTTTTATATCTATAAATAACTTTTTAATTAAACGATTTTATTTTTAAATAGCTATAGTATAGTCTGTATCGTGTTTAAAAAAATGTCGTAGAATGAATAATTAACTTTTGATCGATACTGTATGGTTATAAAAACAAGTTTAGAAATTATATAAATAGCTGGTGATGGGGACATAAATGTAACTATAATGCAAGCAAATTCTAACAAGTGCTGTCTCACTGTGCCATTCAATATACAATATTTATTTATTTTGTATTCTGAATGCCATGGCAACAAAAAAAACGAAAAACTCTCAAAAGATAAACAACAGTTTACAAACACAACATAAAAAAAAAGACTGAGCAACACGAACCCCACCAAAACCCGGGAGTGATCTCAGGTGCTCCGAAAGGGTTAGCAGATCCTGCTCCACATGTGACACCCGTCGTGTTACTTCTATAAAATTCGTTGTTTGTTATATCATGTGATAAGATATCATGCAATCGTGGATTAGAAATTGACTCTTAAATAACCATAAGACATCACCATATTGTAAATCATCAATCAAGAAAATTGTCTAACTCTGAAAATGGACCGAATATGAAATTTTGAAATTGAAACAAGTTTTTCATGAAAAAGGATAGACGAGACTGTTAAAGGTTTAAACACCACAAAAATTATAAACCACAAGGAACAATACTTATAACTAAAACAAGAGCAACACGATCCCCTTTAAAACAAAACTCGGGTGATCTTAGATGCTCCCGAAGGGTAAGCAAATCCTGCTCCACATGTTAAACCCGTCGTGTTACTCATGTAAGTACAAACCCGGTGATAAGTCTTATTCGGTAGGTCACATGGTTACGTAATTGGAACATATCTGTCGTCATATGTGAAACAAATCTTCCATAACGGTAAAATCAAATCGTGATTGCTTCCGTAAAATTTTCGAAGGGATGGTTTCAACTTCACCACTTGGAACTCTTCGTTTAAGAGCTTCCTTGTAAGCAGCAACCCTTGATCAAGGAAATCCTAATAGGATATACAACCTCAAACATATCATATCAACTGGGAGATATATACCCCATATGCAAGCGACATGGAAATTGATACATAGAAATGGAAAGTACACAATTGGGAAGCTGAAATCATCTCTTTTGTCTTAAAGTTTTGTTCTCAACCGATCATCGTCAATTTTATAGATGTAAGTCAAGATATGAGGCAGACTTAACTGTATCTGTTGTAACCTTTATTTCAGGTTCGATGGGATAGATGCGTTCATTATAGTCACCAAACTTTGAATTATATAATGAGAGGACATCATCGAAATAGCCGAATGGGAAGTTAAAGGATGATGCTATCTTCTTTTCATTCGTCCTCTGAAGCTTCTGTATGAAGTCAGCTTCATATGAATAAAGAACCAAGTCGGTTGGAAGAGGAGAGCAGTTGGTTCCAATGGAATGCCGATATTTGTTGAAAATCACGTCCTCCAAACATAACAAATATGTTGTCAATCAAGAAATCAAGCAACTTGTTAATGTAAATTTCAGAAATATTTTTGATTGAAACAGAGTGATATTTTACAAAGTTCAATTTATCCCCCTCCCCCTCCCCCTTCCCCCCTAAGACAAGACAAGACTTGTATCTATGTTGGCCATCTATTATTATGAATCAAAGCAATAACCAAGTCTTTCAATTTGTCTGTTTGTTTGGAATGAGGAATATTTGTGTAAAGGGTCGAAAAGTCAATTTGTTTAATACTAAAGGGAAAGCGATTTAGATTGTATATACTCTAACATATCTTTGTTTTTTTTTAGTATCCACATCTGATTCAGGCCAACCCTAGAGTAATTGGTTTTACAATTACTTTGAAGCCCGACTTTGATTGTTGATAAAATCGATGTTGATAATTTGGAAAGAGGTTTCTTGGAGCACTTGGAAGACCCAGACATATTGCCAAAATCAGTAAAAAAACGTCTTAATTCCATTTAACTGATAAATTCAACAGCACGTACCGTTATCTTAATGATATTTTTTCGTTAAATAATAATTAATTCTCTTAATATACTGCCGAAATTTACCCAAAAGAAATTACTGTAAATAAATCAAATATTAACAGCAATAACTGTCCCTTCCATGATTTAGATATTTCCGTTTTACATGAAAAACTCTACACAAAAGTTTACTACAAAGGGGACGATTTTTCTTTTCCTATTGTTAATTTTCCTTTTTTTGACAATGATCTTTCTTTGGTACCGTCTTACGGTGGTTATATATTCCAACTCGTTCGCTATGCCCGTGTCTGCATGTAGTGACGTTTTGGATTTCAATGAGTGTAATCTATGTATTACTGGTAAATTATCAAGTTAGGGATTTCGTTTCCAAAAATTACTTAAAATATTTACTAAATACTTCCATAGATACAAAGATTTGGTTTTGGAAGTTTGGCTGTACCTGTAGAAAACTTTTTTTTAACGGGATAGCACATCCTAATTGTTCCGGTAATGTTGTTTACCGAGCCCGGAAACTTAGATACGATCCGGGTAAACTTATTAATCCTTAAAATACTTATTTTAAAAGGTTACCAATTCAACACTATAATTAGATCTGTTAATATTGTTTTTATTGGTATTAGTATTGATCTTGTTATCAGTAACCATACTAAATATTGTTGTTATACACATATGCACATTCACGGTTCTGTCGATTCTTTATTTTGGCATTGCACAAGGTCATGTTTTTCTTTGACTATTAATGAATTCTTTACACTAACTAAATCCATTGATGTTGAATGTGTACTGATTAATATATTAGTCACAAATACATGATTTTTTTATTAGTTGTTATTGGCTTTGAACTAGCTGTCAGTTACTGCGAGTACTCTCAGGTCTGTTCTTTATGTCTTTTTTTGTTGTGTGGTTGTATAAATTCCCTGCAACGTCCGGTCTGTTTTTTTTTTTGTTAGATGTTTTTCTGCTTTGTATCGATCTGATGAGTTAAGCCCTTTTCAACTGATTTTTATAGTTTGTTCTTATGTTGTACTGTTACACCACTGTCCCAGGTTAGGGGGAGGGTTTGGATCCAACAAACATGTTAAATCCCGCCACATTTGTTATGTGCCTTTCCCAAGTCAGGACTCTGTGTTTTAGTGGTTGTCGTACGTTCATGTCTATCATATTTGTTTTCATTGGTTTTAATATTTTTTCTCATTGTTGAAGGCCGTACGGTTGCCTATAATTGCATGCTTACATCCACTTCATTTGGACTTTGGTGGATAGTTGTCTCATTGGCAGTCATACCACATCTCCTTATTTTAATATATAACTTGTTTGAAAGGACACTTATGTTATTTAATTAGGTATCCAATACAGTGAAGGAAGATCCATATTTTCATTTATGGTTGAAAGTCAAAAGGAACATAGAATAGACCAATAACTATTTAAGATTCAAGATTTCCTCCTTGGTAAGTGTCGTGAGGTATATGTTGAGTTTCCAAGTGAATTGTCAATACCTTATGCCATTATCCAGCAGTTTATGTTATGTAATTTTCACACGAAAACGATGCTTTTGGGGCATTATCTTCGGGGACAACAACATATTTGTCATGGAGGTAGGACAGGTGCTTATAGCAACATCTGGGTCTTTAAAGATCGATGTAGCATGCGTATTCGTTTGATTTACAATGTATTTGCTTTATTCAATTCATTTTATTTGTTTGCTTTGTTTTCTAATTATACGTTCTCTTTGTCTATGCTTTCCTGTATGTTCTTTTATCTATTCTTTTTATTATGCTGCATACTATGATTTGTTTCTCATTGTATATACTGGTGTTTTATTTAGTCGATTGTAAGAGATTCCTATATAGAGCTGATGTTACTTATTGTTATGTATCTGTATAACGAAATTTACTTAGTTTCTTATTTAACATCTTTGCAATTGTCTTTCCCACTATCGAAACCCGAACATACCAGGTGCGTGCGACTCCAATCTTAATTGACTAGTGTTGTAAGTTTTCCGGCCGAGGTTCGTTGGTTCTCTCCGGGTTCCTCCACCAATCAAAACTGACCGCCACTATACAGCCAAAAGTACTGGTTAAACACCAACAATCAATCAATCAACCTTTTCAACTATATTAGATCAGATTTTCAACGACATACCCGTAAACAGTATTTAATTTAAAATTGTCTTTTCAAAAAAGTTTTGAAGTGCATATAACAATTTAAATTAAGAAATGATAAAAATAATAAATCCCTAGGTACCAACTTTGAAACATTGACAGAATCTTGATGACGTACATTTTGAATCAGCAGTAAATAATTTAGTTTCGTCTTCAATCGTTAAACTTACATGATATATTTGAATAAGTACTGCTACTTTAATAATAAGTGTAGTCGGATATACTGTTCACTAACGACAGCATACAAATAGGTCAAGCAATTCTCTAGAGCATGTATCGGTATATGACGATTGTAAACACACTTAGCCGTAATAAGATAGATTTTAACGGGATATTACACAAAGTGGTCAACTATATCGTTTTGTAGTGTAAATCGTGTATCTAGTCAGGAGGAAGAAATTTATTTTTATCAAGGTCCGGAACTCCTTTCTAAAAAAGTATCTGTAAGTCTCAGTTACAAGTAGGTTTTATACTTTTTGAAATGTGAATAACGTACGACTATATTTTCTGGAAAGATTTATTGTGAAATTAAACTCATAACATTTTTTGAACAAAGATTTTTCTTTCTCGATTATTTGATAATATATTATCTCTTCAAATGAAACTTTTTGATTATATAGAATATTTAAAACAAATTCCAATAAGCTATTATGCAAACAACTTTATTTTATAAATAGAAATGTGTATAAAGTGATTATGTTCATCCTCGAAATACTGTAGTTGCGTAAAATCGTTGTTCCAGTCACATACATGGTATGGATATCTTGTTCAGTAAAAAGTCTAACATATGGGGTATGCATACCTAAGTTTTTATGAAATTCACCTTATCATATATCCAGAAAAAGTGGTGTATAAATCTCCGCGAATTAATCCTGTACTGTAATCGGGAAGTTTATGGCAATATAGTTCGTCGCCTTTCATTAAATCTGTTGTAAAACATATGGAACCAGTGTTCTCATGTTTTCCTTGCGCTGCATAGCCTCTTCCTATTTTATTATCGTTCCTCATGAGTTCTACATTTACATAACCATTTACTACAAGAAATGAGCAATGGATAGAATAAAAACCATCAATAGGAGCAGTAAAAATTCCTTCTGTGACGGAGTAACCATTCCCAGAGTTAGTTATTACGTTGTCGAATTTAATTATCTCACCTTTCTGTGGAGCATTTTCGGAAAGCGTTGCAAAGAAAGCTATCGTTTGTTCCACCTCTAATTCGAGGTTTGAAATATTTCGGAAGATTTCGTTTATTCTAGAACCGATGCGCTCACTTGTATTGACAGAAATTGCATCAGCATCACTAAATATATCCCTATATCTTTGCACCACAACCGTATGTATAGCTGTCTTAGTTTTGGACACGTATGACCGCATTTTACTTATAAATTGAATAATATCGTGTTCAGTTTCATTTATTAATTTTACTTTCCTATCGTTTATTAATTTGTCACATTCTTTCGTTACTTTGCTCTGAACATCATTTAACACTGTGTTGAAACTCGTATAATGAAATAATGTCGGAGCTTGTTGTTGTAAGAGATCTTTAATCTGATTGTTGGTTTCGGTTACGTTTTCGATCTTTCTTTCTAGCTTCAGAAACAGTTCCTCGCTCCTCCTTTCAATAAGCTCTTCCACTCGCTCCCCAATAATTTTCTGAAGCGCCTTTAAGAATTCTTTGCTCCCATTGTTTATTTCTGGTCCATTTTCTGGAACATCCCCACGTCCTCCGGATGTTTCATAAAACAACAGAAAACACAAAAGAAGTACAAGATAATCACTCAATTTCATCCTTTAATATGTTCTACCATAAGTTTATGCTCTAACATATAAAAGGGACGCACACTATTATGTCATTTCCTATTTTAAGTACACACTTCTGTTATCCGGTTAATCAAGACAGAAGTCTGTCGACAACTTTTGCAAACGGCTTAATGGAAAAATGATTATTTACCATCTTGGTTTCAAATCTTACTCCAATAGTTGGTTATAGTAATGGAAAGCTTCTTTTTGTCCGTCCGCCTGTCGTCAAATCTGGAAAAGGTCTAACGAAGTACGGATTTTATAACTGTAAAGTTTTAGGTGATTTGAACAGATAAGCATACGGCGTCTCCTTTTTTCATGCGAGCAATGTGCTTATAACATTTCCCCTGCCGAAAAAAGTAGCACCTAGATTTCTTCTGAAGGATTTACTTTTGTTGGTAAGCTTACATTTGATCTCTATACTTGAAGGACATAGGAAACCTTGTTCAAAAGCGGAAAATCACATCCAAGTTCCTATGGTTGTCTTGGTTTCCAAAAACAAATATTTTCTTTTTTTCAGTTAGTGCTTATTTTTTTAAATATGTGGTGATATGCATTGCATATACTTATACTAGTATAAAGAAGACTCAGCTTTAAAGTGCTTAGTCACGTCTTGGAATTCAATGAACATAATCTATGAATAACTGGTAAAATAATTAGTCAGGTATTTCATTACCATGATTAGTTAATCCTGTACTAAATTATTTTCCTTTCAAAGATACCAAGATTTGGTTTGGAATTTTGGCAATACCTATAGAAATCTTTAAAACAAGAGAGATATCGCATCCTAATTTTTACGGTGATGTTGTTATAAGAGCTCACAACTTGATATACGATCACAAGGCCGTAACTACCATTGAGGCAAGTGAGGCAATTGCCTCACTAAAATTTCAACACTGAATTATTTTTTTTTTGTGTATTTGTTTATGCTAATTAAATACGAAATATAGTCATTTGTCTTTTCTGTCTCAACCTTAATTTGTATAACTTGTCATCGTTCCTTTTAAATTATTCTTTCCGAATATAATTCAGCATCTCAACGGGTGATGTTTCTCAATTACATTAACCTAGTAACGGTAATCATCATGGATCTCTGGTTAAAAGGCTCTTGCAGAAAAAGGAAACCCGATACTGAAGGTGAGGGAGGAATAATTCTAGTAAACTAACTGATGTTGTTTGTGATCACAACAGGGATTAAGAGTTCGAGTATTGAATATAACTTCATTGGAACTAATCCAAAAACTATAAATAGACTGACAAATCAAGAACTGGGTGGGGCACAGTACGGGGGCAGTCCTGTCTGCGTATTCATTTCCCCGTTTTCCCCAACTTTATTCGTTCTCTTTACAGATAAACAAAATATAAATATTATGAAACCTGCATGGATTAGTTGTTATCCATATTTCTTTTACCTTAAAATTTGAAAAACATCCCGTAATCCAATTTGACACTATTAAGGGACGGTAGGATCTTTAAAACGGGATTTTGTGTTTTCTAATTCGGGACTACGGAATTTCGTGTATTTTTATTCGGGATTTTGAGATCGGACCCCACCCCCTCATTTTTCGATTCTGGATCTAAATCATCTTACCACTGACTATTTCCAGAAATAATCTGAAATCACGGACCTACATGTAAACGGCGAAAACTCCAGTCCAATTCCCCCGTATCCATATCACACAAGTAAACGAACTCTAATCAGAATCATATACATGTATCTTATCTCATTCTATCCCTAGTTTGTTCACTCTTGACTCCTGGTCATTACCTTTTACCTGGAAAATTTAACTACCTGACAGACGAATGCATAGATGAAATAAAAGAAGCGCACAACCCCGATTTGCCAGACACTGAAAACTGGCAGCAGGAGAGTTTAAGATGAAAAACAAAGTTTACAGATAAGGAATCTGTTCCCAATTTCCTTCAGCAAGCTCTAGTATACGTACATCAAGATTTTTACCGAAACGTAAGACGCGTTCATGTGCTTTTATTAACTTTCCTAGTGACGAGCGTTATTTTAAACCCGTCAATAAATTTCAAATAGATTAACCAGAATTCCTATATTTAAAAAAACTAGATGTGTCGGAACGACACGAATGGCCCCGCTCGCAAAAAAAGCTTAAACCATTTTTAGGAGTGGTTTAAAAATGAAAGGTTGATAATTTAAAAAAAATCAACATGGTTTGAAAAATTGCAAACTCAATATAGATTAACCTAAAATAAGCAGACTGTTTATTGTTAGTTCAAAATGAACTCAATGATACTGAATCAAATGCATACTAGATGTTCAAGTCATCACCGTAGTGTCAGTAATCCAAAAGTAAGTCCTTCCATGTTTAAGTAATATATGATAGTAGTCATGGTATTTTCCCATAGTTTTTCTATCGGGGTAAAGTTGAAACCAAAAAAACGATGGAAGATGTATAAATGTCAAATAATCCAATTTAAGGACATAATTTTTTTTTCAAGAAGTCAGTACAGTAAAATGAAACATCATTATCATGAACCAGAGAGCTACAGATTATAAGTACCTAATGACTATTTTCTGTAAAAGAAGGATGAAATAATCCGAGTAATAGCAGGCATTTGTCATTATAAGTGTTACATTGATTCCCAGTTGAAAACCTACCCAAGTTTGATCCATAAATATTAGTTAGGTTAGAAACACATTGATGATAATTCAGTGATGGAAGTACTGAGTCAGTTGAGTGTAATGTGCAGGCACTTTTTGTTTATTCAAGTAGAAGTCTCCCAAAATAATGACATCTTTAGTCGTAGATGACGGACACAAATCATGTAGAGTTTTAACAAATTCTGAAGAACTGTTGGATGGAGATCGATATACCAATATCAAACTCATTAATCTCTTGCTCGTGGTAATTTTCACTTCCATCACTTCTGCAAAAGTTAGTTTAGCAGCACGTACAATTTGTACTGTCAGTTATTGTTTTCCGTATATTAGAAGTCCATGTGTTTGTTGTTGTGACCTGCAGGAGAAGTGGATCTTTCTGAATATCAAGAAAAAGGTGTTTAGCAGACCGAGCATTTAGAAGAGATATGTTAACATGTGGAAAATCAGTATCTGGTAGGAGTAACTGTGGTTGTGTCTTGTATGTAGACCTCAATCTTTCCATTTCAGAATAAACAGTAGAGCTCACTTTCTTTGCGGAGAAGTCAGCTAGGAAGATTCCAGACAGCAAAGTTGATCTGCTTAGTGCAACGTAAGCTTGTCCGGCAGTAAAGTTTCTTTGGAATGAAATGAAAACTTCTTTCAGTGATTGTCCTTGGATTTTGTGGACGGTACAAGCCCAACAAAGTCTAATCGGGAATTGTTTTCTTGTGACTTGAACGTTTTTCTTGGATTTTGAAAGTGAAAAAGAAACTTTAAATAGTCTTTCAATAGGTACACTATTTGGTGGAAAACGTGACAAAGTGTATTTATTCTGAATACGGGCTTCTTTCCCAATATTCATATCTGAGAACTGAACTAATACCGCCACTGTAATTTGGTCCTTTAATATGAATCCTGCTTTTAGACCTCCTGAGAACCCCGGATCATCAAGTAGAGATTTTTTGTATCATACTCTCAGGTATAATGTCTACAGCTGTTAAGGTATGTACTTTTTCAGACAGTTCTGACAGTATTTGTTCAATTTACAAGTCAAGTCTTGCATAAGTTGTATAAACATGCATTATTTCGTCATCTTCTTTCGTATTTCTTGTTTCTAAAATTACTAGATCATCATTTGTTTGTGACCCATCTCTAACTCTTTAACAATCTAGCGAATTCAGCGTAATCCCTTTGCCGCATTATTTCGGTTAATTCAAATAATTTAAAGATGTCCCCGAGATGAAAACAGAGGATGGTTTAGTCAACAGAAGGTTGTTAAAAGACAAACTTTTGGCAAACAGGTGGGATTTGGTGTAGGTTCCCGAAAGCTAAAATATGTATTGCTGCAAAATCATTGTTTTACAGGAAAATTTCTTGAAGGCGTCTATGGATCTGAAGGAGGAGGTCACTTCCAACCATTGAAATTTCATCGATTATTATTAATTTGAGTTGAGAGAACTTGCATCTAAGAGTGTTACGTTTTTCATAACCGAGTCTCTGGTAGCTCTTTCCGTGCTGTCCAAGCTGTAATTGCAGGGCAGAGTGGATTGTAATGAGCTGCTGTTCCTGTTGGTGCTATTAACAAAGCCTTCGTTGATGTTGTTTCCCTTCTTTTCGTAGAGTTCGTAATACCATTTGATGTAAAACAAATAGAGAGGAGGAGGTTGCTCACAATCTTGTTTGGGAGTATTAACATCTTTGCACCAATTGAAAACCATTTGGAAGACAGTACGATTTTCATCATTCAAGGAGCGAATGTCGCCATTGTATTAATCTACTGAAACAAGTTGATAGAAAATTTCAGATGTCACTGGACAAGATTTTGACAAAGAAGCTGTTGGTACATGTGTTGATTCTTGTTGTGATATTTCTAATTGGTCAGTGTTTAAATGTTCAAACTGCGGATCTATTTCTCCATTTTCCTATTGGTATTTTAAGGCTTTCGTGCTGAATTTCTGGGGATATCAAATCCCAATCCGTTTCTCTAGGGCCATTTTCTAGATAGTCTTGCATAACACCATCTATCAAATTATCATATTGCTAAAAGGCGTCTTTTGCAGTAAGAATTGACTGTTTAAGAGCCTCATAGCTTTCCTAGAAACTTTCCAAAAATATTAAGGTCAATTTCCTTTCTCCAAGGTAGGATCAGAAAAAGTTCTGTATAGAAGTACCTTTCAGGCTGCGATCAATACTGAACACGTTTGACAAATTGTTTCTCCTTTTCTATAAAAAAATAAAACACCATGAGATGTATTAATTTCAATTTCTTCTGGTGCTTCCTGGATGTTTACATCAAATGGAATACTTTCATTATTGACAGTCACCAAGTTTAAGGTCTGACTGAATACTTTTAACTTAATGTGGAGTACTCGTAGACTTCTGAATATAGAATGATGCAAATAGAGTAAGATTCCAATTTTGTAATGACTGTGGA